GGCTTAAACAGGAAGTGCTGATTTTTAAAGGCCTGGCAGCTGAACACATCAATGCATACCTATGATTAGTGTGGGCCTGGCCTCGGAAGCCTGCAACTTTTCGGCACGCTAATTGTAGGGTGGTGAGCAGAAAAGGTGTAGTGGCTAGAGGGGAAGGAAGTGTGAGGGCCATCAGGCATGTTTGACTGTGTGCTGTGTGCTTGCTCTCTCTCTCTCTCTCTCTCTCTCTCTCTCCATTTCTCTGTGTATATGCATATGACCAGCGTGGAACTAAAGATGCAAACATTTATTGTATTGCTTAATCGTCCTCAGAATACTGGTTGAGAAATCTTTGATGTTATTTAAGCAGCATGAAGGGATTTTCCTTTTCAAGATTTTGTTTCAAGAATGTCTTAGAAGAGAGATGGATGTGGATAACTAGATGAGTGTGTCAAGCTTAAAGAGTCTGTCTCGTGACCATGCACAAGGATGTTGGTTCAGATGGAAGGTCATTATGGCTGCAAAGCCCTTGATGGAAACACATTTCTGGGATTGTCTAAGTTCTGTAAATGGTTAGAATTTGAACTATGTGAGCATCCATAAAAACACACTCCAGTGGAGGGAAAGTTGTGTGCTTATGCTGAGAATGAACAGAAACTAAAAGTGTAGATTTAAGGTGAAGTTTTATACTGTATTTTACAGCTTTCTATATATTATACATTCCATGTGTCATGAGGGTGTTCAGATTTGCTTGTAGGATTGAAACTTGGCTTCATTACAGTTAACACTCAAGATCTGCTTTACAGTAAATTTGTACCAGTCGCTAACCTCTCAACTACAGAAATGGGAAACTAAATTGGTTTCAGCCGCAGTTAGCTTTTTTTCAGTGCTCGAGACTCTGTTACTTCCTATTGTTTGCATGTTGTGCGTGGGCTTGATTGAAACCTGATCTAGCCGGGGAAGCTGTGTTTAGGGTGAGGTGGACAGGCCTTTGTTGCTGCCTGAGGGGTGTTTATTTGGGCGGCTTCAGTTGGCTTCCCTGTAATCATCATCCAGCCCCACAGGATAGAAGGGATTAATGAATATGTTGGAGGGGAAGTTACAGATGACTATTTACCATTCTCATGGGGATGAGAAAGAACAGCATGAGAGACGCAGGGGAAGAAGAAGTTTGCATGTGTGTGTGTGTATTTGTGTGTGGGCACGTGCATGCTTGTGTGGTTGTGTGTGTGCATTTATGTATAAAAGAAAGAGGAGTGAGAAAAGAGAGCTCATATTGGTCTTTTTATTACAATAAACTTAAAGGAATTGTTGAGATTTTGAGAAATACTCTTACTTGCCGAGAGTTGTTCTGTCATTACCCTGTTAGCTTAGCTTAGCACAAAGACTGGAAACAGGGGGAAACAACTAGCATGTCCAAAAAACAGCCTACAGTCACATAACACCCGGTAAAATCCATATGTTGTCATACTGTTCAGTTTTTGTACGAATTAAACAAACGTGACAAAATGTGTTTATAAGTGAGCTTTAGAGCTGGTAAGGACATTTAGTTAATTTTGGACAAAGCCAGGCTAACGGTTCCCACCAGTTTTCAGTCTCCGTGCTAAGCTGCTGCTAAGCGACTTACCGTACAGAAATGAGAGTGGTATCGATCCTCTCATCTAAGTCTCGGCAATGAGGCAAATAAGAGTTTTTATCAAAATGTCAGACTATTCCTTTAAGTAATACTGTTTAAATATACAGTTACAGAGTTAGTTTGACTCATTGCACCATGTTATTAATAAATTTTTTGTTGTCCGACACCGCAAATATGGATCTACGATAGAGGCTTTATTGTTTTTTCTGTGAAATAAGATGAAAAGTGAACGATTAATTTCACTGTGTCGTTTTCACTGCAACGTTTCCATTCTGCATCAAACGAGAAGGAATCAATGACTGTGAAAACTCTGAGTCAGACATGACTCCTCATATTACTCCTCGAAACAGTGTTCAGATGTCTCTCCTGTTCCCAAAACATCCCTTCACTCAAAACTACCTACACACACACACATATTTTTCTATGAAAATCTAGTAACAATAAGTCCCCCCCTCGTCAGCTGTGTAGCCCCCATCCCCATCCCTCTCTTTCTCTCCCCTATGGCCTCCTCCACTTAATCCTCCCGCTCATCTGGGAACCACCAGCACCCCTCCATGAAGAGACGCATTGTGCCCAGATTATTTGATTGTTTTCAGATGTTGAAGCTTTCCTACACAAAAGGGGAAGAACAGGGTTTGTCCAAAAGCCCTAGGCTACTTGGCCAATGGACGGACACACAGGGAGGCGGGGGGGGAGAAGGGATCGGCGCGGGGCTCAGGGAGCGGACACACGAGTCAGGAAGTGACCCCTGCAATGCCAGATTACAAACAATGTGCTCTCTCAACTTCTGCAGTCCTCGCTGTGGAACATACCACTTCGGCGACAGCCCAAGGGGTGGTGCTTGTAGGAGGAAGGAAGGACGGTTTCAGCCCTCTCTCTCCCTCTCTCTTTAATGCTGCATCCATTCAGTGAGTGGCGGAGGGAGTAGGTGGGTTGGGGGTAGTCGGGCCAGGAAGGCACTTCACTGATGAAAAGTCGCCACATGGAAATGGATGAGAAGTGGGCTGAGAGGGGTGGGGGGTGAGCGGGAGAAGGGCGGGAATTGGCTTGCGCTACCAGCAGACATGAACGGGGATGTAAGGAGGAAGAAAGGGAGGGAGGTGAAGGATGAGAGACAAGGATGGAGAAAAAGGATAAGGATAGCGATGGGGAATGCAAGAATAGGGGAAGTAAGCGTAACGGTGAGGGAGGAATGCCAAAGAGTAATGGTCTGATTCAGGGCTTGTCAAGCATGGAGTCCCGTGCCTGTCAAATAGCATGTAACCAACAACCTTTTTCTCTGTCTGATGGTGGAATAGTGTGGAGGGGAAGCAGCGCGTTAAACTCTGAATGGATCTTTTGTTCTGGGGTTGTTGTGCCTTTACATTTGACCAAGCCTGCAGATGAAACTGACTTTGCATGAGGTCCCATTCCCTCTCTTATAAATCCATCTGTCTCTCCATCCCATTTTCCAGTAGTTGTCTCCCTGTAGCCCCTTATTATCCCCTAAACTTGCCTCACCCTTGATGAGATTAGATTTTTCACGTTCTTCCTATCTGTGCTGTGTTCGTTCACATAAAGACTACCTGGGATTTTCTATTTTATGCTTGTCTAGAGAGAAAAGAACCTAACCAAATCTCCTGATAAATGAAAAAAAGACCCGGATGGACACACACACACACACACACACACACACACTCCACCCCCGTCTGCACTGTCATGTGTGACTCACAGTGCATCGCAGCACCGTATGAACTTCAAAAAGAGGCTGGCTGTACATTCACAGTGTATTCAACCCCTGCTCTTTAAATAGCTCAGCCTCCTCCAAACAGAAAAAAATCCATGCATTAAAAATGACTGAATCATACAAGAATTAAAGAGGCAGAGGACATCTTTTCACATAATGTCGAGAACAGCAGTAGCTGCACAGATAATACTAGTTTGTCTTGGTTTAAGCATATGCGTGTTCATGTGAGCGGGGAATCACATGTATGTATGTACAGGGAACATGTACGGTATGTTCTATATGTGTGTCTTAGCAGAATGTTAATGAGGTAATAGGTTATTTCATATTTGGTTGTCATGCTGCTTTTTATATATATATATATATATATATATAAAGTCAATATATACCTATAGCTGTACTGTATAGTGCTTGTATGTACACATGGGTACGAAAGTACATGCCTACACAGGTTGTATTTGTGATTGAGTATAAATGTGTGTTACTGAACTGTGTGTTTATGTTTAAATGTGTGTGTGTGTGTTCTGGAATGCACCTGGCCTGATAGGCAGGCAGAGGAATGCTGAATACTGTCTCTCGCCCAGGGAGGCAGGGCTGGAATGTGGCCCAGGCCCTATTCTTCTCTCCACTGCACAGCACAGGAGAGCTGCAGGTTCACTTACACACACACACACAC